ACGTTGTATTCTCGAATGCCAAAGTACGACGTTCCACCATCCCAAGTGGCATCGTTTGAGGTGTTCGCTGCGCAGGGCTTCTGTTGTTGCTGGTACGACGATAACCTTGACTGCGGTAACCACTTAATGCACAACTTACTCGAAGGTACGATGGAAGGCGTTTCTTACTAGAAGCTCCATCTGGACTACCCAGCAACAGATTGTCTTCTGATGAAGATGCATTTACTGCCTTCAACGGAGTAGTTGCTTCAGTTGGAACCTTCAAAAATACACTTCCAAATTTTAACTAAAGCAGTAACGAAGAGACGTCATGCTTAAAGTAAAAAAGATGGTAAACAGAAAACAAAACTTGAAAGAAATTTGAAAGAATGTAAAAAGAAACCTTTTCCGTGTGGATCGTAATGTGTCTCAGATCATTTTCTGACCAAGCCGGTCGTGGTGATGGTTCCGGTGTGCCAGAACAGACTGATGAAGAAGGTGATGCATCAGCCTAGAATCCACTCTATTATCAGAACACTCAAACAATTTGTGTGTCATAGAAACACAATTTGCAAACAATGAATAATGGCTTCAACAGCCAAGTCCCATAACCTAGAAAACATCGAGAAAAATTTTGTCACTTTAGCTGAAAAAATCTTTGAAAACTTCTAACAACCACCACTATCATTTTGAAATTTAAAAATCTAATCAACAAAGTAACCCAAAAAACTTTTAAATAATGTGTCACTATGAGGCAAAGTCTAAATGCAGTTAGAAGGACACTGAGGGGCTGGAAAATAGACGACAGACTGAAGCCAATCTTAAATTCCATCAGCAGTAATGACCGTAAGGTTCTAAAATAACAATACAAAATCGCAACCACTTATACTGTTGGTGACAAAGAATGTTTGAACAGCATAAATGCACCTCTCCGGCACTGCCTTCACTGTCAAGTTTATGAGTTACACTTCGAGAGCCATCTTTTCTGCCGGTTTTTCGATTCATCGAAATCCGATGAACAAGGCGAAGAAATGGAGAAGAACGTCGCTTCGCTTTTTTTCCTTCTGAACTATGATGCTGAAAAGCTGCTGAAGCCATCGAATCCGGTGAGACACGATTATCTTTCTGAAAGAAAGTTTGAAAAAAAATAAAATTTTCTTCTCCTGTATCAGCAAAACCCCAAAAACGTGAACCAAAAATAATAAAAGCTGTTTTATACAGATCTTCAATCCACCAATTTGTACAGTAGCACTGATTACAAGACCTAAGAAATGAACGACTGAAGTACAGACCCCAAATGCAAACTTATAGACTGCGGCATTACCAAATTCTAAAAAACTGTTGTTCAAAATCATTTGAAAAATTTCACTGCAGATTTTTGCCGGCGGTGCAAAACTAAAGATCCCATTCAATTTGATAACAGCAAGACAATGTTTTTACCGCTCCTTAGTCGTTAAAATCTAAGCAATTTTCATGCCGGGCCAAAGTCTTCAATACTGCCGCATAAAATCGATTCAAACAAACTTCTGGTTCATTAGAGGAATGTTCAAGAACGCGAACTGCAATCACTGAACACGGCAGAGTGAGGAAACAGATAATGACATTTTGCTGACCACGACCAGAATTTGAAGAACTTTGGCTGGAACAGCGAAAAAAAAAACCAAGAAAAAAATCAAAGGACAATAGCTTGCATGGATATCAGTGAACCTTTCTAAGCACCAATATTCTGGTAAATTAAAATGATAAACGGAAACAACGGCCAAGAATACTAAACTCAAATACCTGAAACTTTCTCAAATTGTTTAAACGAGAAAGAATAACACATTTTTTCTCTTCCACCCAATAACTAACAACAACGATAGATGCCACAAAAAAAAAATCCAGTCCGTCCATGTATCCACTGTCAGGTAGGCTACATAAAAGAATCTGCACGAAACAGAATTTTCCTCTTTTAACTGCTCAATATCAGATGCCAGTTACAATATTGAAAATGTTGACTCAACAACTTTATGGCTACAGTGACAGACGAAGAAGAAAGACCAATAAGTACTTGAAAGTTAGGCCTAAAAGTGTAGCTGTGGACGACGAACAATCGGTATGCTCGGTTGCACACAGTCGAATAAGCGTTACACAACTGTGTATGCCGACAACTGCAGAAACGACTAATCCCGTTGTAGGAAACGAACAACCAATATACCCGAACAGCAAACTGATAATAGCATTCGTTTTCTTTTTTCATAAATAAAATAAAAAAATTTTTTTTCAAATTTTTAGAAAAGTCAACATATCGTATTCTCCACTCCTTTCTCTTTCTTTTTTTTGTGACTGCTAAAAATGAACATGTTTTTAAAGTTAGCCATTTGTCAGCCTTTCTGCTTTCGTGTTCTTTTTTTAGCTTTTCCCTTATTGTTATATCTAAAATAAACTCATTTTCTCAAAAACAAACATTTCCAAAGGGCACATCATACACCATATAACGTTTTTACCAAACTTCTCATATATCTTTCGACAATTACATACAGAAAAACCTATCGGATCGTTTAGTACAGCAAGCAAAAAATACCCCTTTTAGTAGTTTATTTTCGGGGGCAGAGGGGACGAGGAAAAAAAGAAAGTAGCACAGGAAAATGGCACTGAACAAAACAAAAATGATTATAGCACATAAAAGTTGAGGATTATAATGAATTACAAGAGATTTGCAATTAATAAACTGCTGAATGTATCATCGCCTTAGAGAATGTCAACCAAAAAAGTAAACAGAAAACTGTCATATCTGTTTTCTTTTGATTCATAACAATTAAATAAACAAATATCAAATGCTCAATAACCAGTAATAAATTTACAAAACATTTTTTCTTTTTCTTTTCAATTTGTTATAAGTGATATTTTAGAAGCATTCCGAAATACTAAAAGCGCCCCTTTTTTAGCTCAAATTAATAGTTAAATGAATGTATTAACTTATCCTGATCAAATTCTCCACCACAGCATTGTTCATTTCTTTTTCTTATTTTCACGTCACCTACAGGCTAACACTTTTATCGCCCTCTACTTGTAATCTATTATTGTTGCCACTATGTCTCTTTCATTTTATTTCAAAAGAATACCAATGGAAAGAAAGGTTAAAAGGTACTGCTGTTTCTGAATACCAGCACAGCATCTCAAATCAACTAAACTATCAAATTAATTAATTAATTAACTGTTATTTGTTATAAAAACGAACAGCAACTGGCATAAATAAACCCCCAAATATATCCATTATATGCGGTATCTGAGGTTCTCTTATTTGATTAGCAAACAAAAAAAACCGTTACTTTAACAGTTTAATATAGTTAACAACTTACAGACTGTTGTTGAGAATGATTTGTTGTTGCTGTTGCTGTCGTAGTTGGAGAAGTTTCTGTCGTTGTCGTCGCTGTTGCACATTCATAATTTTGTGACGTTGCGGTTGTTATTGTCATTGGTTTACGAGCATCTTTCCTGATACCAATTCGCGTTAAAAATACACCGATCGGTGACGGTCGACATTCATTCAAACTTTCCTGTTGAAGCATCGCCATTACCACTGCTGTAGAAAAAATCAAATCATCCAGACAACTGGATCAGTTATTTTACATACAGTTCAAATAGCTAACGCTTACAATACCCATATACAAATATAAAATATGACGACTGCCAAAATGTAGACGTTTAAAAAACAGTTCATTCGTTTGCTACTGTATCCTACTTTTTATAACAATGATAATTTTTAAAGAAAAAAGTAAGTAAGAAAAAAATAGAAAGAGGAAGAACTAAATGACGGAAAATGAAAGAAATGCATAAAAGAAAACGAAAGAAGCTGCACAAAATAAAACCAACTAAACATTTGGCGTTTGCCTACAATTCATTTGAAAAATCACCAGTGACGATAAAGTTGGATGAAAAAAAAAAAAAAAAAAAAAAAAAAAAAAGAAA